CGTGAGTTCGGTTCCCGGTACCAGAGAAAAAGCCAAAAAAAAAAAAAAAAAAGAAAACAATCCAATTTAAAAATGAGCAGGAGACCTGATCAAACACTTCACCAAAGAAGATGCACCAGAGTAAACACACAAACAAGCACACAAAAGATGCTAACTTCTGTAGTTGGAACATCTCTGTATGCCACCTCTGGGTCCTGATGTTGAAATCCCAACCCCTGAATTGTTAGTGTTATGAGGTGGGGCCTTTGGTAGGTGATTAAATCATGAGGATTATGCCATCATAAATGGGATTAGTGCCCTTCTAGTTCTTTCTTTTCTGAAGTACAGGGAACAGGGTATACTCCCAACCCAAGAGCCTTTGTAAAAGACACCCATAGCAATCTCTTGCCTTTCAGCCACAAGAGGTAGTGGTGAAAGACAGCTAAGAAGCAGCTCTGACCAGAAGCTGACTCAGCCCAAGCCTTGACCTGGGATTTTCCCGACCCTAGAACTGTGACAAATAGATTTTCCTTTATGCCATTTCTGCTATAGCTGCCCTAATGGACTAAAGCAGCATTATGTGTCATTAAGGGACTGCAAATTAAAACTAGATACCACCATAACTCCTACAATGAGCAAATCCAAAATGCCGGCAACACTGAATGTCAGCAAAGATGTGGAACAGGAGTCTCCCATGCTGCTGGTAGGAATGCAAACCAGTGCCACTTTGCCACTTTGAAGGACAGGTTGGCAGTTTCTTACAAAACTAAACGCTTTCTTACCAGTAGCACTCCTTTGTGCTTATCCAATGAGATGAAAACTTACATTCACAAAGCTTGAGCAGAAATGTTCATAGCAGCTTTGGTCATAATTACCGAAACCTGGAAGCGACAACCATGTTCTCCAGCAAGTGAATGATAAAGGTAGTATGTTCACTCAACAAAAGATTATGCTGCACTTAAAAACACTAAACCAGGAGTGGTGGCTCACACCTGGAATCCCAGCACTCAGGAGGCTGAGGCAGGAGGATCACCGTAAGTACACAGCTAATCTCGGCTACATAGTGAGTTCAAGACTACCCTGCACTACAAAGGAATAGCCTATTTAAAAAAAAAAAAAAAAAGGGTGGGGATGTAGCTTAGTGGCACAAGTGCCTGCCTAACAAGCGCAAGGTCCTGAGTTTGATTCCTGGTACTAACCCCCCCCCACACACACACAATGAATAAATGAATGAATGAATGAATGAATGAATGAATAAATGGAACTATCAAGCTATTAAGAGGCCATGGAGAAAACTTACCAGCATATAAAAAAGCAAAAGAAATTGAAAAGTTTGCATAATATAAAGACTAGCCAGACATGGTGGCACACACTTGTAATACCAGTACTTGGGAGGCTGAGGCAGGAGGATCATCACAAGTTCAAAGCCAGCCTGGGTTACATAGTGAGTGCAAGGCCAGTCTGAACTAGGTATGGAGACTGTCTCAGAGCAAAAACAGCAACAACGAAACCAAGGGGGCAGGAGATTAGTCCGAGGCACGAGATCAGGCGGTAGCCAGGGTTGCGGAAGGGATGCGCAGGTGGAGCGCAAGGATTTCAGCCAGTGAAACTGTTCAGTATGACACGGTGGTAGTGAGTCCGTGTCATCATATAGGTGTCCAGACCCATAAGATGGCCAACACCACAACAGTGCAGACATAAACCCTGGGAGCAGCTCCGATTATAATAAATGAACCACTCTGTTGCAGCATCCATAACGGGCCAGTGTGTGCAGGGATGCAAGATGCATGGCATTCTGCTTTCTGCTCACCCTTGCTGTGAACCCCCAACGACTCCAAGAATGAAGTCCAAAGTACATACCAAAGTATTCATCTAAAAGTATTTAAAGGGCGAAGAGATGAAACACAAAGGGCAAAATGTGTTTTAAATATAGTTAACAGACAACAGATTAGATTATAAAAGTTAAAAAAAACTTTATTGGAAAGATAGGAAGAAGGCACGTAATTTGAAAATCCCAGAAAAAACGGGATCTGGACGTTGGGTGTGGCGAAGCACAGTGGCCACGCCCATGGAGCGGCTGGCTGCCTCTGGCCAGAAGAGTAGCCCGCCTAGGGGAGCGCCACAGCTCCTGCCCGTTGCATGTGGTCAGCACTTCCTCTTCCTGAAGTCAGGGCTCATGGGAGATATGCAAATATTCCCAGGGAACCCTGGGAGTCCTTTAAAAGCCGAGGTGGGCGGGTCCACTTCGCTGGTTCCTGGGAGCTGAGGCTGGAGGCCTGAGACTCAAGGCTTGGAAGGTACGGGGTGCCTGGGGCCCAGCTGAAGCCCAAGGGGAGCAGGTCCCTCAGCCCTCGGGGGCACTTGGGGCAGGGAGCGTTGTCGCTCCCGCTTCCGGGTCCCGAGCCCCACAAGCTGGACTGTCGCTCTGAGGGGGTCGGGGTGTTCGGCAAGGTTGAGGCTTGGCCAAGGGACCCCTGATACCGTGGTTCAAGTTGAGTAGGACCAACCAATGAGCCTGAAGCCCCACACTCCTTAACCCGGCGCCCCAGGAGCCGGTCCATCAGGGGGCGCCTAACCCTATTTCTTTTGCCTTCCCAGAGACTGGAGCAGTGCTCAGCTAGAGAAGTTTCTAGAAGCTCAGACTCGCCAACCTAGGCAGGTTCGCATTCAATTGGGACCTAGTTCCTCGGCCCTACTCCCAAGTTTCTGAACAAGAACCGCCTTCCTCTGCCTGGCAAGTGCAAGGTCGTGAGTTCGGTTCCCGGTACCGGAGAAAAACCAAGAAAAAAGAGAACCGCCTTCCTGCTCCTGCCCGTCTTGCTCCCCTGCCCCCACCAGCACCTCCCTGGTCCTAGTAAGTGCAGTCCCCGCCAAGCGCCCAGAAGCAGCAACGTGGCCATGTGCCCCCCGGTGGTCCTGCGCCTGAGCAGAGAGGGCATGTCCTACCTCTACGCTTCCTGGCTGTATGAGCTGCAGCATGGAGGCCCGCTGGAGGTCTGCTTCACCTGCTTCAAGGTTGCCTTCCTGGACTTCAAAGACACGCTGGAGTCGGAAGACTGGGAGGATGAAGACTGGGACCCCATGGAGCTGGATGAGGCAGAGAATGAGCAAACAGCAGCCCTAGGGCTGGGGTATGGCTGGGGGCCCTGGGCCGGCTGGGGGCCCTGGGCCGGCTGGTGGCCCTGGGCCAGCTGGGGGCCCTGGGCCCTGGTACCAGCCTTAGAGTGGCCAGAGGAAGAATACCTGGATGACCCCATGGTGCCCACTGAACTGGAGCCTCAAAGCATAGTGCCTCTCAGCCTGGATTCTGAGCATGGTGACTGGACCCAGGCCCTTCCCTGGAGGTTTGAGGGACTTCCTGCCTGTGCTCACTGGCCAAGATCCCCTCCTCCGCAGATGTTCCCCCGTGTGAACCTGGCTCCTGTGGAGCCCATGGTGCTGGAGCTGGGCACCATGTGGCCAGTGGAGCTGGAGGAGGCTGAGGCCTGGTTGCTGGGCCTGCAGGTCTTCTGTGTGGTGGGCTACCAAGATACCACCATCTACCTTCGGAAGATGACTCCAGATCAGGCCCTGAGGAGCATGGGCCAGCGCTGGAAAGTGCTGCTGGAGCCGGCTGAAGTGTGGGTGCTGAAGCTCCAGGAAGCACCCCAACTGCATGACCTGCTCCGGTGCCAGCTGAGCATCCTGGAGAAAACACAGCACAGTGAGCAGGAGGAGCTTTTCCCTGCATATGCGATCCTGCAGAAGAAAGGCTTCACCATTGTGTCCTACTCACCCTGGAGTGTGAGTGAGGGACACTCAGCCTCTGCTTCATGGTTCCCCACCTGGAGCCAGGACCCTGGACCAGTGGAGACTACGAGCCATGTTCCCAGGGGCTCTGTAGAGAGCCTGTCTGTCATGGAAGTCTTGGCCCTGGGGGAGCTGTCCTGCTTACAGCCTTTTGTCCCTGAGCCGGAGAACTGAGGAACTGAGTGTGGGAACTGGACTGACTGCTGGACTAGGAATTGGACTTGTTGGGTAGGGGGGCTCACCTGTGTTCAATACCAGGCGACTGTCATATAGTTCAGAGCATCATATGGACCTGGACTTGCGGAGGTGGAAGGCTGTGTGGTGTGTGACTTGAGAGTAATCACAGCACCATGCTCTGGCCTTGGCAAAGGACCTTGCGTGGATGACACGACCAAGGAATACATGAGTGATCTAGATGTGTCCTATTATTTGATGGGGTGGTCTCTGGGGTGGTCTCTGAGGTGCTCAGCATCTGGGGTGTCTGCTCTGCTGTGGGAGGAAACCTGCTTTCCAATGTTGGCTTTATGCAGTTTTACTGTTTAACCCCTGTTCCATTTTATATTTTTTAGTTAAATAAAGTTTTATGAGCTTTTCACTGAGTCCTTGTGAGGCCCCTTGGTGCGTCGTAGGACTGTCCTCACAAGTGTCCTCTGGAGTCTGAAATCCCAGCAGGTGGTAGGAGCAGGGGGCCATGTTGGGAGTTTGTGTCACAGAGGTTATTCAGTCACACATGCATGGATCTGCTCAAAGCCAGCAAGGGTCCATGAGTTTTTAACATCACTTCTCACCAAACACAGACGAATACAAATGTGTGTCCCAGATTAAAAAAAAAAAACCTATAGGTTTTTTTTTAAAGGATGTTAATGTCTGAGAGACAGCGGTGCACATTTCAGCACCTGTGCTCTGCAGAAAAGGTACTGGGGCAAGTTTTCAGGGGTGGGATATGGGGAGGATTCAGGTGACAGCTGTGTCCCTCCTGCTGGTAATCTGGAGGTTTCCATGTTCCTTAGAGTAGACTCTAGCTGCATAGCCCTCTGTGGTTCAAAGGTAGCTAGACGTGTTATGTACGTGTAACAGCTCCACACAAGGAATGCCAACATTATGTAGTGCAAACATGTACCGAAAAGGGGGGGGGTCTAGTTATTGGGGGAGGAGGGGGAGGGACAGAAGGGAAAGGGGATGAAAAAAGGAATTAAGGTGTGTTGCCAGGCATGGTGGTGCACACCTATAATCCCAGCACTCATTAGGCTGAGGCAGGAGGATTGCTTTGAATTCAAGGCCAACCTGGGCTACATAGAGTGTTCAAGTTCAGCCTCAAATACACAATGAGACCCTGTCTCAAAAAAACAAAACAAGAAAGTATTATGTACGTGTATCAACTTCCCACTAGGAATGTAAACATGATATACTCCACACATGTAGTAGTAAACTAAAATAAAAAACAAAACAAAAGACAGACCAGGCTTCTTCCAGGGGAGCAGAAAGACTGCAGCCTGGATGTTTTTGCTGTTTTCTTTTTGTTAGGGGTAAGAATCAGAGCCTTCACACTGAGCTATATCACCAGCCCTTGCCTTAGTTTTCTAAAATTTGAGACAGGCTTTTGCTAAGTTGCCCAGGCTGGGCTCCAACTTGTGATCCTCTTGCCTCAGCCTTCCAGAGTACTAGATGACTGGAGTTTGCTGTCTACCCTGGCTCCTTTCACTGACATTTGAGGTCTGTATCTTCACATACCTTTAGAACTGAGTCTAGAACAAAGGTCTCTGGGTTTCTGATGCCGTTGAAGTGGAAAAAGGCCTCCACACACAGTTGTTCAGAACAGTTACTGTCAGGCACCCACGAAGCTCTGCCAACTTCAGGGATGGGAAGCCTGTGCCCAAATGTGTACCCAGCTTTTCTCCCAACAGACTTGGCCTGGCGTCTCTGTGACCCCTCCTCTCCCCGCTCCTAGTTAGGCAGTCCATCTGTCACTGTCCAGCAGACCCTTGTGTGGGGTATATCTTTTTAAATGCTCCAGCTGCTGTGTGCTGCTGCAGGAGTCCCCAGTGTGCCAAGGTTTGGCAGGACACCCCACACACAGGTAAGAGCTCAGATGAGAAGGGACTGCCCACCCCCACACCCTTGCAGGTACTCAGGAGCCCAGCTCTGTCCCAGAGACAGTGCTGCTTCCTCAGCTCCTCTCATATGACAGGGGGACAAAGCAATTCTAAAATTTATGGTGGCTCTATGTGGTAGTACATGCTTATACTCCCAGCACTTGGAAGGCTGAGTCAGGAGGATTGCCACAAATTGAAGGCTAGCCTGTGCTGTATAGTAAGTTCAAGGCCAGCCTAAACTACATAGCAAGAGACCCTATCTCCAAAAAATAAAATAAAGTTTATGATGAAGATGCCAGAAGAGCAAATGTATTTCCATAAACTAAACATGGATATCATGTGACCCACAGTTCTACTGGGTTATACACTCCAAAGGTGAACATGTGCTTACAACAGCACTGTTGTAATGAGACACCCACAAGAGGTGGAGCAGTCTCAGATCCAGTGTGGAATACACAAAGGGCACTGAGTTTTTGATTTCAAATAGTTAACATTGTAAGAATTTCATCACAGTTTTACAAAAATCAAATGTAAAAGTCCTGGCACATTGGCCCAGACTGGCAATAACTGCCAGTTTTTCCCTGGTAAAGGTGAGCAAGCTGGAAAGGCACCGGGCACACAGCGTCCAACCCTGTGGTTTGGGCCCATCCCAGAAATGTGTACCAGGAGCCTGCTGGGTACCACCAGCATTCCTGACTGGAGAGGGCCAGAGGTGGGGACTGCAGTCTCTATCCGTTGAACAGGGGTCCTGGATCCAGATTTCCCAGGAAGAAGGAGGTTAGGACCAGGCAGGACTCCAGATACTCCATGTAGGTGGAAGGCCTAGGTCACCCTATGACTGGTGTTGACCTGCATTATTGACCACAACTGGAACTTTGACTCCTTCTGCCCTCAGAGACCGGGCCTGGCCACCCTGTCCCAGAGGAGCCCATACCAGCAGAGCCTCCTCCCTGGGGCGGGGCGGGGGGCATCTTGTGGTGGAGGAACCCCATTTCTGGACTCTTAAGGCCCAGCCCTGGGCACATGATGGATACGTAGAGCCCAGGTCCTGACTTCTCAAAATGAATGGCCCCAGGAGGAGGGTTGGGGCCCTCAACATCTGCACTCAGATGATCTCTGGTGGTGTGAGGCACTGCTGGCCTGAGAGAGGATGAGGGGAGCAGCAGAGAAAGTCATACTCTGTGGTTCCCTTGACTCCGTTATCCAGCTTCAGGTGTTATCTAGGGATGTGCAGTGTTAAGGTGTACATCTAGCTGTCCCCTCTAAAGCCTCGTGCACTCAAGGGTGGGGCTTTGGGGAGCTGATTGGAACCTGGGGGCATGATAATCATCAGTGGAGTAGTCGAATAAGGGTGTCATCTAGAGGGCCCTGAAGCTGCAAGGATGAGGTCTTGTGGGCTTTACCTGGGGCTGATAGGGCCTGGGACAGGGAAGAGATCCCGGGGAGCAGGGTCAAGAGGTTCCAATAGGATGACTGAGCAGGTGCAACAGCAAGGCGGGGACAGGCAGGGGATTTGTGACACATCACAGACGATGGGAGGACGCCAGCCAACAGGCACCTCTGTTCACGATGAATCAGACCTCCTTGGGCCCTGAGCACAGCGGCAGCCCTGCAGCCACCCGCTCAGCTGTGCTGTTTCTAACCTTGGGCAAAGCCCAGTCTCGCCTAGAGTGGGAACAGCATTCTCTCTTGTTGCTTTGAGGAAAGATGAGGAGTGGTGACATTAAGGGTTGTGCTTGGTTAGTTGGGATGCTCCAGTGTGGAGTGGGGAGGCTGGTGCTTCCAGCTCCCCCTGTCAGCCCTGGACACTCCCTCAGCTGCACCCCAGCGGGTCCAGCATGCCCTGCCCTCTCTGGTGCCATGGAACAGTATCCTCAAGACCAGGTGCAGGGATCCGAGGTGGGCCCAGATGTTCCCCTCTGTGGCCTCCTTCTCTCAGGTGCCAGAAGCAGCCCCCCCTGCCTGCCTGTGGACATTGACAAGGAAGGTGGGGCACACATCTCAAACAGCCCTGCCACAAGCAGTCGCCTTGCTGGGACGCTGTGGGTGAAGGCTTCAGGGAAGGGGACCTGCTTGAGTCTCCAGGTGGAAACTGATTTGCTCTCCTCCAGCTACTTTAGAGCCTTCTGTTCTCAGGCAGGGCAGCCCCCAGAGACTGAGGCTTCCTGACCCTGCCCTCAGGGCCCTGCAGTTGCAGCAATCACCAGAATGTGAAAGTGATGCTGAGCCCTATGTGGCCTCTCCCTGTGAAAGCCCCATGTGCTTTGTGAGGAGGGGGTCCCCTTTGAGGACTCAGGCCTGGGGCCTGCACCAAGTGTACTTGCCCCACACAAGCCACTGCAATAAAGATAGTATGCAAGTAACTAGGCCTAGCTGTCAGGCAGCTGCCATAGCCCTGTCCTGGCTTCAGTGTCTGTCTTCTCAGAGCTGTGGTCTTGTGCCTGGCCTCAAGTGAACACCTGAGATATAGCATGATCATCTCCCCAGCCATGTCCAAGCAGTGCATAGTGCAGGTGGCCTGTCCTCCAGGACACTGTCCTGATCAGTGCTCCTCATGGCCTCTGGGCTTTGAGGTGAGCTCCATCCCTTACCCTTACTCAGCCAGGGGAAGGGGCTGCCTAGATGCAGTGTTCCATTCTGAGCTGCATGCCCAGTGGGCACAGTGCCTCTCCAGCATTTAGCAAGCAGGAACTGGGATGTCACTTTTGTCACCCTAACCACTACGATCACCAAGCCCTGCCTGCCACCCTCTTTGTGCCAGCACTACATGCACATTAACTCATTTGAATCTCACAGTGGTTCAGTGCAGCAGGTTCTTCTGGTTGCATTTCACAGATGAGCAAGCTGAGGCACAGAGCAATGCAGTAGCTCCCCAAAGACCACACAGCTGACAAGGGAAGGCCCCCAGATGCACACCAGGGCAGCTGCAGTCCATGCCTCTTTGGTCATCTGTGCATCCGGCCCCACGTCCTGACTCTGCCCAGCGTATGGCCCTGGGAGTAGGGTGCAGCAAGGATGGCAGAGTGACAGAGGAGCTCCTGTCTGTTAGGTTAAGAGAGTAGAGAAAGTGCAAAAGGATAGGCATGTCATGGTGTCACTGGATGACAACTTTACAATACATTATTAATTGCACACAGAAAAGACATACATGATCAAAAAACAAAGAAACGAGCTTGCAGGACACTCCAAACTCAAGGCAGCCACCCTCTGTGGAGGGAGGGGAGTGGGGCTGTGGTGGGGGAGTAGTGCGTTTCCCTAAAATAAGTACAGTATTCCAGGTGTCTGCACCTCATGGGTGAATGTAAAGCACTGTGGTGGTGGTGATGGCAGTGAAGGTGCTAATGGTGAGGGTG